AAATCCCCATCTTCTTTGGGAGATGTGGGGCTCATAGAGGGCCCAAAAAGAGGGGAGGGAGATGCTGAGTGTTTTGTGTAGTGCTAGCCTCAATTATAAGAGAATTGACGAGGGAAAGAAGTGGGTGTTTGAGTTGCCTACATTGTTGAACTCAGCTCAGGGTAAGGAAACAGACGGGATTACAGGGCTGAAATCTTAGCTAGTATCAAGGTGCACTGTATACTGGAGTATTCCTAGTGTCTGGATCTTAGGAATCCAGATAAGACAAGAATACTGTGGTTAGGGTACCAGAGAGAGAAAGCCATAATTGCAGTCATATTAACTGAAGGTGAATGTCAGGAGAGCCATGTTGGAGTGTCTTATGCCTTGAGTAAATGTCTTAATGACACTCACTGTTCGCTAGACACAGGGTTTCTCTGTGAATGAAAGAGATGTGGACTCTGTGTTCATGTTTATGGGTTGATAAGAGGCACATAATAAATAACTGCATGAACAAATCTGTAGATACATTTTCCTCATTGCATTCTACCATATTGTAAAAAGTGTGGAGGCAGTTACAGTGGGGAGACAAAGTTTAGATCAATTGAAGGTGAAGTGGCGAGTGTGTGTATGTATGTATGTGTGTGTGGGGGGGTTGATGGTGGCTAAAGAAAGCATCTGAGGAAGTTTTATTTACTCTGAACTTGGAAGGACAAGTGTGATTTACTTAACAGATTGGAGAGAAACATCCTAGGTAAAGAGAAATAGGTAGTAAATTCTCTGAAATTTCTTCTTACCTCTCAAGTTCTGCTCCTAGACATAGTTCCCGTTATATTTGAAACAGCATATCGAATTTAGTCACTTATGTCATATTTTCTCCAGCAAACCATGTGGTTGGGTTTCAGTATACTTGTTGTTTGATTAAGGTAGTTTTTTTTAGCCATGCTATAGAATGTCCTTGAGTGTCAAGAACACATATGGACTTAAAGAATGTGGAATTATTCCAGAAAAATACAGGCACATTTTTATGAAGTATAATTTAATTATGCTTTCCAGTGTCTTTTGGGTCACTCTCCCTTTCCCTCAGTGATTCTTGTCACTTAACCTCTAAAAAGGCATTAGCTGTCTTGTAACAATGGTATTAAACATTCTCACCTTTTTGTGTTTAATACTGGAGAGGGTTGACTGTAGATCGGCAGTGTAGCACTTCAGTTCTACCATCGCATTTAGCTAGAAGTGTCTAGTTCTCATCTTGGTTCCATTACTCCTTAAGATTTCTTAACCCTAACTGAGGATTAATTTTCTCATCTGTAAATGGGGATAATAGCATCTCCAGTTGTAAATATTAATTGTATGTAGAATATAAAGTGATTGGGAAATAGATGTTATAATTTTGGTACATAAATTGGTACACACACACAAACACACACACACACACACACACACACACACACACACACACACACACACGCATCAGGACATAAACCAGTATTAGAAATGTAGAAGGTTTTCTCTGTGTTTTGATGGGCTTAAGGTCCCTTCTTTTACCTCTCTCATTTCTACCTCTTAACAACATGTTTGAATGCTATTTATTTTCAAGAGTAAATTTAAAATGACTAATACAATAATCTGTTTCTTTCATGTAACAGAGTATTTTTAAAAGAGAGTGAAAAGCAACTGTCCGTTTGTGCTTCTTTTTATTCCATAGAATGAAAACCAAAATAGGATTGGTCAACTGATAAAAGTATTATTTTATGAATTTGAGAAAGATAACTTATAGGGCTTCAGTTTCAGTACAATAAAGGAGGTAGACACAAAATTGACTCTTTTGCTTCAAGTTTGATTTAGTTAAGCATTGCCACATGTATAATATCAAGTAGATGCTGCCCAGTCTTCTTTAATAAGTTTCTGTTATTAATCATAGGAAATTGTGGGACATTAGTTTCTACTATACACATTCTTAATCTGTAAAACGAGTGTTAGAGCCTCTCACTCTAGATCAGGGTATAATTTAGTGAATCTTTCATTTTAGAAAAATTGTCCCTAAAAAGACACCAGGTCCTAAGTAAGACATACTGTCTAGTTTCTAACTGGATGGAAGGTGAGAACAGGAAAACTTAGTTAAAATCTTAAAGTGATATTCATCAGGAGTAGAGCACAACTCTGTAACTTACCAGCAGTTTCGATGAGTGACTGAATCATTTCAAAGGACCATTTGTTTCAAAGGTTTGAAGATGTATCAATATGGGAAGGTTACAAAGACTGTTTGTGAGAAAATTGAAATGTAGACAAAAAAGCCTACCGAAGATGAAAGGCTTTTAATCTCTCACCTATCAGATCAGGAGGGAGGGAAATGAAAACTTCCTCCACCTACAGTTAGGCCATCCAGGATCTTCAGGATAATATAAAAGAGTATGTGTTAATGAGAAATGATGTTTACAAAAATGCTTAAGCTTTGAGACATTGGATTGGAAAGAGCTTTTGGAGAAGACTCCAGAAGTATAGGGGAAAAAAAAACCCAAAGCTAAATAAATGCTAGTACATCTAACTTAAAAGCTGCTACACATCCAGGGAAATAATAAAGGTGAAGATACCTACACAATGGAAGACTATATATCTATCAAGTTGTGGATATCCAGAATATGCATGGAACTCATAGAGCTCAATGAAGAAAAGAAAACGAATAACTCAACATGAGGAATATACTTTAATAGATACTTCTCTGTATTTGATTCTGGTGCCCTGTATCTTGTATATACATTTTTTTCTAATTTGGGGAGGGGAAGGGAATAACAAAATGTTGAAATAAGGATACAGGCTGATCCATTGTAACAATGACACTATGTACAAGACACTATGTTAAAAATGAACTCTACAACTTGGTGGGGGGAGGAGTTAAGGAGGTGGGGAGGGAAGGGAGGGCTGGGGAAAAAACAAAGGAGAGGGTAACAATGCTCAAGAGGAAATATACTCATTACCTTACTCATGTAGCTGTAGCCCCTCTGACAGTATCTTTACAATAAAAAATATATAAAAAAGACACAACAAGTAGGAAATAAGTATATGAAAAGTGCTTAACACCACTAATTAAATTGCCAGGGAAAAGCAAACCAAAGCCATGCTGAGATAGCACCTCACTACAATATGAAGGACTATTGTTAGAATAAGAAGGACTATTGTCAGAAACAAAAGATAACAGCAGTTGGTGAGGGTTTGAGAAAAGGAACTTGTGTACACTGTTGGTGAGCATGGGGATTGTAGTGGTATAGCCATTATGAAAAGTAGTATGGAGGGTCCTCAATCCATTAAAAACGGAATCACCATATGATTTAGTAAGCTCAACATTGAGTGTATATCCAAGGAAAACAAAATGAATATGTTGAAGATTTATCTGTTCTCCATGTTCAAGTGTGGAACCATTCACAATAGCTGTGGCATGGAAACTACTGATTGTTTATCAGCTGGTGAATAGAGAAAGAAAATGTGGTACATATATACATGGAATACCATTCAGTCATTAAAATAAAATCTATGATTCATGATGACATGGGTAGAACTGGAGATCATTAAGTAAAGTAAGCCATGCACAGAAAAACAAGTGCCATATGATCTCACTCATATATGGAATATGAAAATGTTGATCACATAAAAGTAGAGCTGGCACAACGGCACACACCTGTAATCTTAGAACTTAGAATGCAGAATGACAATGAGTTTAAGACTAGCATAAATATATATAGTAAGATCCTGTCTCAAAAATGAAATAATCAAATGAACAAACAAGCAAACAAACACAAACCTGTTGAATCCCTTTGTTTTATGACCTGTTATATAACCTTGTGTGATTTCTTTTTTGTAATACATTTTTATTGTAAAAATACTGTACAGAGGGGTTACAGTTACATGAGCAAGGTAAAGAGTACATTTCCTATCAAACATTGTTATCTCCTCCCTCCCCCCCCTTCTCTTCCACCTCCACCTTGCGTGATTTCTTGAGTGACATAGACAGTATAAGATATGAAGGGACTTTGGGCTTCCATACTGTCTCTTTAAGGGTCTTGGATGTGTTTCTTTTTTGTTGTTGTTGTCTTCCTCAGTTGTGTGGCTTGAACTCAGAGCCTGGGCACTGTCCCTGAACTTTTTTGCTCAAGGCTAGTGTTCTACCATTTTGAGCCATACCTTCACTTCTGGTTTTTGGTGGTTAATTGGAGTCTCATGGACTTTCCTTTCAGAGCTGGCTTCAAATGGTGATCCTTAGATCTCAGCCTCCTGAGTAGCTAGGATTACAGGTGTGAGCCACCAGCACCTAGCAGCTTTTTTAAAAATGTTGTATATAACTTAATATTTTTGTTACTAGGCAAGAAGGACGACCAATAATTATTATGAGTCAATATATTTTCATATCAATTATCTTGCTGAAAGCTCAATTAACCCAATGTATTATATCTATAGAATATCTGCAAAGGTCAAATTTTCTATAACTATGGATACCCAGCCATAGACTTGCCGCTTAAGTTTTTGACCTTTTCTTTATGTGGGGAAATTCCTCCAGGCATTCAGCTGTCTGGATGCTCACCAGTGAAATGTGTTAAATGTCTCACAGGGCTAGCTCATGATCCACCTACACATTATAACTCCTGTTAACACTTATCAGACAATCTCCTAATTCCTCAATATCATTCTTTTTGTTTTTGTTTTTTACATAGCCTATTCCTGGACTACGAAAATCTCTCTTTGTAAAGAAACTTCCATCTTTCTTTGCAAAAACTTGTTTGTCTACTCTTAAGTCTCTGCTGGGTTTTTCTCCATAGTGAAACCCATCCATGTCGAATAACGCTCACAAGTCCATTCTATAGTGACCGACTCGCTTCCAGTGACAAGAAAAGGCTTTCTGGTAAAAGAAGAGACAAAAGTCTAAAGTCATCAAAACAATGTAATATCCTGTGTGAAAGTCATGATGTCTTGTGGTTTAAGTCCCTTGATCATGTGCCCTGAGGGAAGTAAGTTGGAGGCTTCTGAGGCCTTGGCAGGTGTGCCTGCAGCACATTTCACCCTGGGTTCCTCCGGGGAGCCCTGGCCTACCGGAGGACAATGATGTTCAGGCTGCTGCTCCTGGGTCTCAACTTCTTCCCCTCAATTCAAGTAACAGGTAAACTATTTTGATTTCTTTTCTCCTCTTAAAATTTTAATTTGTGTGGTTGCTTTATTTAAAAAATTTAAATTCAAATAATGGATGAGCATTGAATACATTTGAAATGTGGTTCTGCTCTAATAGAAGAGCCTATTCACTTAGAAAGTCACTGATTGCCAATACTACAGCATAGCATCTGAGCAAATCATCTTTGGAAGCAAATAAGATTTTCTTCAGTTACTAGTGGATGATGTTCTAAGAAATTTAAACTTTTATATATATATATTTTTTAAAAAAATTAACAATATAAGTCAGTTAGCTCTGAAAGCTTTGAATTTGGATTGTCTAGGTTCTTAGAACTCTCAACTAATTGAGCTTATGATAGTTTTAAAACTTGCTAAACTTCTGTTTTTCCTTACTTGAAAAATGGGAATGATGGTAAATATTGTCTCAAGGTCATTGTGAGGATAAAGTGAAATAATCCATGGAAAATGCTTCATTCCTTCTATCATTGGCTAGCAAGACGTGTGTTGGTATAATGTCTACTGAATTGAATGAGTGTCAAAATGAACCCTGGAGTTACCATAGACACTAGTATAACACAAATACTAACAAATTAGTTTCTTCCTCCTATTGGCTAAAATCTGTTTACTTAGATTAAAATCCTCTAAGTTCCCAGGAAGGCTGACAAGAAGTCTAATACTTGTAAAGCGCTTACTTTGAGTATCACTTGATTCTCACAAGGAACTTTTTGGATGCCTTACTGTTTCCCCAAAAACATATGGTGAATTTCAACTTTCTCTTCAGCTTAGAGAAATCCTCTCAGACACTCAGTTGACTGGGTGCTTGCCGGTGGGATGTGGTTTTTTTTGAAGAAACTAGCTGGATTTAGACTACTTTCCTCTCTCTAAAACTTAAGCTTCCTTCAATCCTCATCATCTCAAGGTCATTGTGAAAATCAAAATGAAATGATAGTTGTTACAGTTAGGTGAAATGAGATAATACTATAAACTCCACTGCAGATGAAGAGACAGAAGTGAATGAATTAGGAATGTTAAGAAAGTTCCTGAAGGAAACACAGGTCCCAGTTGTTGGTGGCAGATTTCAAATCACCTTTGTCTGATTCAAGAGCCTGTGCCCTTGACTGGCAAGCTATCTGACCAAATATGATGTGACTTTTAATTTTATATATCCACATTTATCCAGAGTTAAAATTGTCTTCGGAAAGTCAGTTCCCAACAGAAAAAGCCTGTTACTTTGGTAAGTTGGAGTGATATGTCTATTCAACTTGTTCTATATAGAAAAAGGATTTGGCTTAAAAGATGGACTTGTTTAAACAAGGAAAGAAAGAGAGAGGTACATCTCTGAGCCACTCTCTTTCATTTTTTCCCATTGATTTTAATGGCAGGGAGGGCATTATCCATAGGTATTGCTCTTAAACATCATGTATGCGCCTCCAAAAATATCATTTTCCAGCCTGCATGCACACACACAGGATTTGTTGTCTGACATGGTAGTAAGCATGAATTGTGCGTCTTATTTATAAAGGGTGTTGATATAAAGAAAGACAACAGTTGGTGAAATGTAATCTGGAACCAAGCATTTAGAACTACTAATATCATTCCAGAAGAATCTTTGAAATTTATTTTGAAAATGTTTGTAGTTGCCTGTTTAAAGAGTCTTTGACATTTATTTTTAGGGATAAACTGTCTCAATTTATTAGACAGCCTTACTCTGACTAAACACTATTTAACATTGGTAATTGTACACCAAATGCTTTTCTGATGTGCCTTGTGGACAGCCATCTGTCATCAATTCGTTCACTCCCCTTTGAAGATTTCTCTTGGTAGGACTCGAAGCTTTGTATTTTTTCCTTTAGAACATTTATTAAGAAGGGTATAGCTTAAAAAGCAGTCAGAGAGTTCGCACATGTAGAACACTTGTTTTCTACTTTGAGAAACATTTACTTTTCAAATGCCAACTTGCTTTCTTACTAGCATTCAGGATCTGGTGCTTAGTGTACATTAATGAAGCAGGAAAGAGTAGAGGTAGAGGGTGTACTTTTGAAATGCCTCTTCCAGTAAGAAAGCTTATGAGAAGTAAGATAATTACAATATACAAAAGTGTACCATTCATTTCTAACCAAGTGGTACAAAGCCTTTCGTCCCATGTGCTTTTTGTTTTTCTCTCTGTTTACCCTCCATGAAGAAATTAGGCATAAGAAAAGTCTCTGTGTCACTGTTCTTTGAAGAATCATGAGAAACTATTGTTATGCCTGTTGAGATCGTGTGTGTGTGTGTGTGTGTGTGTGTGTATGAAGAATGGTTTCTTATTTCCATTCATTTAATAAATTTAACTTATTGAGTCACAACATAGCTGAAAATACTTATTTGGTGAAGATTATGCCTAACCTGATTATTCACAAATTGAGTAAGGCTGTAGCCAGACCTTAATGGATAATTTAAAGAAATACAATTTAAGAGGAGTAAGGGGAGTATAACCTTGATAATTCCTTTGCAAAGATTACCTGTTTTCTATGACACGTATATGATTGAGATCCACAAGAAAGATTTTTGTTAGACTTTAGAGTATGAATCGATCTTGGAAATTAAGGCTCTGAAATGGAAAATACTTGTGCTTGTTGGTAGATAACACATGTAACATTGGCCACATGTTTTTTAGTGAACATTGGTTATTTTTTTAGCAAGCTGGTCATATAGTATGAGGACAAAAACCATGACGAACTCCATTTAGTTTTCCACAAGAATATTTCTTTTTATTTTTCCCCTATAAACCTTAGCAAGTAAACTGTCAAAACGTCCAGTTTGGGCATGACTGATTTCAGTACTGCTGCATTAACCCCAGTGCTTTGTTTTCCCAGAGAAGAGCAGACGGTAGCAAAATGATTGTTGTTTAATAAAAAGTCCTATCTGCAAAGCAAAATAATTAAAAACTTTATCTTTAGCTCTGTCATCAGCAAGTGATATCCTCTGTGGTAATTGTGCACAGAAAGAAGTATTTTATCTCTTACAGTTAAGTGTCGCATAGGGACTGGGCTTGGGAATGTAAGATAAAAAGATGAACACTGGAAAATGCAAGTTAATAAATAGATTGCTGTATTTACACAACTTCCAATATACTACAGTCAATTTTTCTGACTTAAAAAATTCACTAAGTACAATAAAAAATAAAAAAAATCACTAAGTCTTTTATCATTTTGAGTAAATTTGATGAGTTTAAAAACTATGAACATAGCTTAAGAATGATTTGGACTCTATTACATTCCCTAAGATAATACATTACTTTTTCCACTTTTTTAAAAAAGGTAACTATCTTGCAAAGACTTTTATACGAGAACTGCAAAATTAATACTGATTTATCAATGCCAGGCAATAAAATGAGTCATTGAAACAGATAGACTAGAAATACTGATAGTAACTGTGAGGTGTTGCTCACCTTCGGACCTTGGTGATAGGTGGGGAAGGGAGCTTGCTGCCTCCCCAACTTCAGACATAGATTTCCCCTTTTTATGTCTTTCATTCTCAAGAGTGGAGAAATGCATTTATCTTGTAGGGCTGTCTTCTTCCAAGAGCTTCCTGCAGAGTATGTGGTGACAAAATGAAAATTTTTGTGCCACCAACAACCCAGAAGAAAGTTCTGTGTGTGGCTTATTGTCTCCCCAAACAATAGCTCTTCATCTGTGTGTTAACTCATATAATCATTGGCAAGGTTGCACAATTTATCTCAGACTTTCTTGTATAAAACTTATAGGTCAGTGCAAAACACACTTATTTTATTAGCATGTCATTTCAAGGTATACCATCTCCCCCCACCCCTTTTCATAGCAATAGAATTACAGCTTATTCTTTTCTTCAAGAAGTTTATTCAGAGGATGGGACTTTCTTGTTGAGAGTTTAGTTAGGCACGTGGGAAAATGACCTCTGGGTGGCTGGAGTTTCTAAACTAGGTTTCTAAACTGTGTGAAAGCAACTGCATATCTCCTTTATGGTGATTTGTTTTTGGACTCCTTTTGCTCAATGATGTGGTATTAGCACCACTATCACCAATCAACCAACAAACAAAAACAACAAAAGAACAAAAAAACCCAACACACCCTGAGCTTTTGGTCTGAAAAAGATTGCTGAGAATCAATCCTCACACCTCAAGCAAAAAGCATTGGCAAAGAGGGTGTGTGACTTTTTACCTGAGACTCTGATTTTGTTGACTGAACACTATCAGAGAAATACATTGAATGGAATCAAAATCTACCTAGCTGCTTGGAAGAGACTCAGAAAAAGAGGTTTCCATAACAGTGCTAATTTCATAGACATCTGGATTTAGTCTATGTGTCATCATACAGATTATGTGTATTTATGTTTTCATTGGTATAAGAGAAGTTGCAGGTGATGAAGAATTTTTTTTATTTAACTAGAGTTGCTCCTTTACCTCAACGTTGTCATTACTGTCATCTTCATGATCTTGGGGACTCTGACTGTCAAGGTAGCTGGTTCCTGATGGCATCATTCAGAATTACTCACTCAGTGTACTTTGCGTTCTGATCTAAATGTGAGCCCCTTTCTACCGCATCCCCATCTCCTCATTGACTCACAATCTGCCAGATCATGTACTGATTATTCCAGGAACTGTTCTTTATCAGTCATTCATTTATGTTAGCTACCTGGATTATTGACATGTCCCTCTTTTGAATAATGAAGAAGATTCTTTGTTGAGAAATTAATTTACTGAGAAAGTTGAAGGCTGTGCTTTTCATTGCTTAGGGATCTTGACACAAGATAGATTGTCAAAAAAAATCACCTCACTGGATTTGCAGCTTCTCTAGAGGATCTGATGAGAGAGACATGAAAGAGATGAGAGAGAATTAAGACCCTCTCTGAATTCATAGAAAAGAATACTTGTGTTTTGGTTGTTTCTAGAAGAATCTAATAAAAAGATGGTATTACTGAGTTACATTTTTGGATGCTTTGGGCCTGGTTCCATCTTTGGTATCCAAAATATCT